TTTCACCTCACACTACCTACCTACCACTACTCCTAATTGTAGGCATACGGGGATCCCCGTAGCAGCCAGAACCGTGTTCACGACAGAACATGCGGGGGCTGCTCCCGACCTGCAGGTGGGCGATACCGGCTAGGGGACAGCGGGTAGCATTAGTGACCATGCCAACAGGACCAATCCCTGTGCCTCCCCTCAGGTCCCCTCCCCTATGAACATCAGGAGACTCTGCTAAATGCCAATCGGAGGATCCAGTGGTCTATCTCTAGGTGGCGGGCGCCAAGCATGCCCAGGAAGGTACATGAGGCCGCATTTTTCGACAAGCTTAGGATAGGAAAGTACCGCCAGCTACAACTGGTAAATATGTAGTGGACACGCTTTTCAAATGGACCGAAAATCCCCCCAGTGTCTCTGCTGAACCTTAGACTGGGGCCCTGTTTTTGGAAACATAGGATACTTAGGTCCAGATCCCACTAGAACCTACTGTTCATTTCTGTTCGTTCATCTTCGGGTGAAAAATGAATAATCCAGGGTAGTGGGATCTGACCCTTAGCAATGGGACGCTGGACCCGGTTTCCAGCATAGTACACAGGTCTGCTCCAAATAAATAAGAAAAGGAAAACTCCGTAGATGATGCCAGATTGCACAGAAGTGGGCCACAGGCCCACACACCGCGGGAAAATCGAGGGCGGGCGGGACCGCTTCACCAAATCAAGGCGAAGGAAAAGGACTCGACCTCTGAAACACCTGACCCTTGTGTGGCATGCGCGCAGGTTTGCGTTTGCAATGAATGCTACGAGCAATCAAGGCCTGGAAGGCGCGGCTCGGGAGAGCGCTCAAGCTATCGTGGTTGGGCAGGCACCTGTGACTTATACTGTCGCAGGACAAAGCAGCAGAACCGAACGGGCGTGCTCCAACCCGGGTAAGTTGTCACATCAAAATTAGACGGCCGTAGATCCTGAGTAGTTGCTTGTTGCCGTGGATGGAAAGTTGCCCAAAATGTTAAGAACCTTAGATTTTGCAGATCCATGTCGGAGGATAAAAGTCCCAAATAAAATTGTTGTGGTACCGAAAGCAAACCTCAACTCTTGTTACTTCTGTTGATGGGGGCCGAGGATTGTTGCATAAGGGAATGTGTTCCGTCCAGCTTGCGCGAAACCAGGTGCAAGGTTATTGGCATAATGCTACACAGGTCTGCTCCAAATAAATAAGAAAAGGAAAACTCCATAGATGATACCAGATTGCACATACGTGAGTCATAGAAGTGGGTTGCAGGCCCGCACACCTCCTAGGACCGCCCAACTGCCTCCATCGTCCCACAAGTGACGTTGTCATCTTGAAGAGAATGGTGGAACAAACGCCTGAGCAATGGTGGCTGAAAGCAAAAACGGAGCACGTCTGACTTTGAAGGTGGATACGAGGCTAGACTTGAGTGGAGCAGTGCCTTGGTTGGAGAGTATGGGGCCGAGCGATGATGAAGAGGTGGAATGAAGAAGTTTCTTCTTGCCCTGAAGAAGTGGTTGGAACGTAACAACATTGGGAGAGATTGCATGAGCTGCAATGATTTGGATGTTTTGTCCTTTGTGAGCAGCCAATAGCTTGTCGAGGTGGAAAGTCGATGCCGAACTTCCGATGCTGAAGGATTGCCGTTTGTATCACCATCAACCCTTTATGCGGTCGTGAACTGCTTGAGTGCGTGCTTTCGGTTGCTTGGGAGAGGTGGCGAAAGAGATCCATGCCTGAGTAGCAGGGTGAGATCGTTTCGCAAGGCATATCGTGAGTACTCTTTGCAGAAAGGTATTATTGAGGAATCCGCACAACCTTTGAGATGGTTAAAGTTAAAAAAATTGTTGGAGCATATCAAGGAAAAGGTGAAATTTCTGAAGGGTTATCATGAAGCCCAGGCGTGTAGGGATGGAGGGGTGTTTCTATATCTGTGGGAAAGTTGGCAGCGATGTGGGGAAGGATTGCGATTGCAATACAAGGAAATTGACTTTGAGCAGAAAGTTGTGAGGCCAATATATACTAAGATTGATCGCCATGGAGGGAGGTTTATGATAAAATTGCAAGATCCAGAAGCGACGCAAAGCGGGGAAGAAACATTTCTTGGCTGACTTCCTAAACTGCTGGTAGTTATGATCGGTTAGGGCAAGATATAAGGAGGGGATATCTGTTTCGGCCAATGCGAGGTGATGCACCAATGAGTGGGGGCCGGGTTTAATAAGTGCATAGAGAAGTGGTTTGAGAAGGCAGGAGTTTATGAAGGGGAGAGCGGACACAGTTTTCGGATAGGGGGTGTTCAGGCGGGAATAGAGGAGGGGTGGAGTTTGGGTGAGATAATGCGACAGGGTACGTGGAGTAATGTTGGGACATTTATGAGGTATGGTTATGGAATACGTCTCGGGTGGAAAAAAATGAGCTAAGGGAATTTAGGTGGAAAAGCAAATTGTCGTGAGACCAAGGATAGCGGGGTTAGGGCTGCTGAAGTGTACTGTAGGGATGGGGAGGCAAGATAATTTGGACTCGGGTATGGTGAAACGGTGGATGATATGAAGGAGAGGATACATGAATACCAGGAGGTACGTTGTGATAAAGGGAGAATGAGGAGATGAGGAGTTGGGATGACGATTGCTTTAGAGAGGGTTTGGTGCAGAAGTGAAGTTGGAGAGAAAATCCAACGGTGAGGGAAAAAAGGAAGGAGATTCCAGTCCAATGAGAGTGCATCTATTTCGGATGTTTTGATTGACCAATTCCTGGAGACGAAGGTAGGACATACATGGTGATAATCTGAAGCAAAAATATCTATTGTTGGAACGCCTACCTTGGAGAAAATTTCAACCTTAATGTGACCAGTCAATCCCCGTTCGGTATTGTCTTCAATTTTGGAAATTGAGTCAGCCCTTGTATTTAAGGTTCTTGGTATCCAAACGGGGCTGAGGAGGGAATCAAAATTGAGTACAATGGAGGCGATGCTTCTTAGCCAAGGGTTGAAGGATTCGTCTGTTGATTTCATGCGTAGGAGTAGGGTTGTGGCGGCTTGGCTATCAGAGTGAAGTCTTATGGAGGCAGAGGAAAAAAGGTGAGGATGCGAAGAGGCGAGGAGTCGGAATGTTTCAAGGATGGCGAACAGTTCCCTATGGGTTGAGGAGGAATCAAGTAGGGATTGGGGCAAACACTGGTTGAGTGTGATTGTGTGCCCGCGAATCGGATGGATTACTGCTGCAATTTGGGTTGCGGAGGCGTCTATGAAAATAGATAAGGAAGCGTGGCGGACGGTCCACAACCTTCCGAGTATGTTAGGTAGATGATAGATCCACCAAATGAGGTTACGGATGAGATCATCGGAAATGCGGATGGGGGAATCCCAATTGGCTGGCGAGATAGCTTCGTAGAAGGAGGAAAGGTAGAGGTGGGTAGGTAAAAAGACTCTGGAAAGGGAAGCGAGCTTTCCTGCGAGCTTTGCAATTGTTCTGCTGGAGGGATTTAATGAGGAATGAATGAGGCTAATTATCTTAATTTTTTTATCATCGGGAACCCTAATGCGTTTATAGTGGGAGTCCAAGGTGAATCCAAGAAATCTGATGGATTGAGAGGGTAGAAAGGAACATTTGTTGGTGCTAAGAAAGAAGTCAAGGTTGTGAAGCAGAGCAACATAGTTGAAGGATTGTCATAGGAGCAGGGGTAGATCCTTATTGGCAAGTGCCAAGTCATCAAAGTAGGATGTGGCGAAAACGTTATGGACACGAAGTTCAACCATGATTTCTTGCATAACGGTTGTAAAGATCCAACAAGCGGAAGATAGTCCAAAGCACAGGGTTCTGAACTGGTAGTTACGTCCATTCCAATGGAAGGTTAGGTAAGAACGTGATTTGGGTTGAACTGAGATATGGTAGCATTCATTCTTTATATCGAAACAAGTTAGGAAATCGTGAGTTGGAGATTCTGAAAGGTGAGCGGTAGCATCATCAATAGACTCATAGTGAAAAGGTGGAAAAGTAACAAAAAGGTTGACAAAACGAACATCTAGGATAAAACGGGTTTTGGAAGAACTTTCTGTTGTGAAAACAGGATTGACCACGATGAGATTTGGGGATGCTTTTCTTACTCCAGTAGAAAGGAGTTGAGAGACTGTGGTAGAGATGAAATTGGTGTGGTTAGGGGAATTATTGTGGTTGGTTATAGTGAGTGGTGGAGGGGAGCTAAGCTTGAGGGCTTGCTTAAAAGCGAAAGGCAGGGAGGACTGACTTGACCATTCTTTTTACTTCTACAATCTTAGTAGATGGGATGTGAGAAGTGTCGTTGAATTGAAGTCGGACTCCGTGGTGAATCCATTGAAGTACTGAAAGGGAGTACCTTCTAGAAGATGATGAGAGCAAGATGGACCAGTTAGAGAAATGTCTTGAAGGTGAGGCAACGAATAAATTGTCTAGATTCCTTAGCCATGATGTGCGCTCTTGTAGTGTGAAAGTCGTGAGGCGAAGATCAAGAGTTGAAGGAGGTGATAGAAGATTGGATAGGATGATAGTTACGGAGGGAATAGAAACGGGAAGAGGGCTATTGAGAGGTTCTGGTTGAGTCGGCAGCTGCAAGACGAGGTTGGTTAGAGTCTGAATGGGTTCTCTTGGTGACTCTGTAGTAGTCGTAACCCCGGTCCTTGTCGTCGTCATAGTGCCTCTTGGATGATGACCTTTTGGTGTCTTCGGTTCTTGTGTGGTCCTCCTTCTTGCCGTAGGAAGAATGCTCCCATTCTGGAATGCCCAATGTGCAAGATTACAGAGGATAAAAGATGAGCCCCATAACGCAGACGGCTTAGACGTATTAGCAGTCCGGGGCCATAATTACATTTAGTCGGGCGACGACCCTATTCGAACCTGTGAGCACCCCGTCTGACGAGGCTCATGCAGTAGTTGTATTCCGACTTGATGAGAGGTACAACCTTGTCCATGCCCTACCTGATTGCGTTGTCGAGTAGCTGCTTAACGGACTTGGTGATCATAGGCTCTATGCAGTCCTTTGCAACAGAAGTTACTCTTGTTGTGAAGTCTGCCGTGAAAGCCTTCCCTGTGGGGAAGTAAGAGTAGTTCATATTGATCTCCAGGAAGCGGATGTAGGCTTCAATTTGCGTAAAATGGCAGGGGGAGGTGAAGGTTGACTTCCATGCTGCAAGTTCCTCGTATGCCGGCTGAGACTTATCGTTGGGCTTCTGTTGAATGCCATTCATCTCGGACTGCAAGTTTGGGTATAATTGGTTCAAGCTGGAACTTTCCTCCTGCTTTTCGATGAGTTGCTTCTTCAAGTGCTCGATGGAGAGACGATTTTCCTCCATTTTGGTGGCCATTTGCTGCTTAAGTTGCTCGAAGGTGTCCATAGCTGCTTGGTGGATGAGTGAGGAAGAGGAAGAGGGGATATCTGAAAATGGGACGGGATGGAAAGGTGTGGGGGAGGGGGGGGGGTTTGGGAGTGGGAGCTGGGAGGGAGGTGGTGGTAAAGGATTCTTTAATTTTATGGTGTGCACATGCACTCTGTGAATTCATCTGATGCATTAGTTTGAACATTGAAGAATAACTCGTTTAGATTATGGGAGAGGGGGTTGATGCATTCGATAATCTTTGCTGGAGTGAAGGCGGGGGGTAAGATTGGGAGGATGACATAGACTTCTGCTCCAATTACGGATTGGGGGCCAAATGCAGCGAGGAATGTATTGAGCCAAGGATCCATCTGCAAGACATTTATAGTAAAATTAGATTAGCAGTTGAAGACAAAGGCAAGGTAAAATTGAAGCCGACATTGTTATAGGTGCAGCTGGTTGATTGGACTCCTTTTTTTTTTTTTTTCTTGGTTCTATACTCTATCGCTCCAGATAAATAAGAACCTGCTTGCTCTAAATTGTGTTGTTACTTTTTTTTTTCTCTTTTTGTTCTTACCTCTCTTTTAATATACAATAGTCCGTGTGTGTGTGTGTGTGTGTGTGCCTGTGGGGCCAATCAATCAATCAATCAATCAATCAACGGAAAAAGAAAAAAAAGCGCTGTTTTTTTTTTTTTTTTTTTTTTTTTTTTTTTCCTTCACTCACCCAACCCCCCCCTCTCGAAAA